GGGGGGAGGGGGTGGGGTGGGGTTATGTAAAGTACAAGTGGTAGGGGAAGAGTTGGTTGACTCGGAAAATTTTATTTTGTTCTCATACAACTGATACTAGTTGTATGAGACAATTTTTTTTGTCTCACAGTTTTATGGACCCAGATTTTTGTGAACCCAGAAATGTAAGATTGAGGTCCACAAATTTATGAGATAAAAATGAGTCTCATACAACTAGTGCAAGTTGTATGAGACGCAAAATAAAACTTCTAGGTTGACTCTATGGACTGGCAGCGACGCAGCGTACAGATTATGAAAGGGCAAAGGAGGAAAAAAGGGTATAGAGGGGATGAACTTGCTATCCGTACCATCGTATAGGAATTTTAAACAATGATTAGTAAATGGAATCAAGAGTTTTAAAAATAAAATTTAACAGATGCATTAATATTCTTTAAGATTCCTTTTCCCAGGTATATATTGATGAGTTTTTTAATTTGATGAGTAACTTTTAGGTATATATTACGGGACATGTTATAAATTATGGATTGAAAACATAATTTTTTTTTTTGAAAATTTGCTAATTTTTTACACATATGCTTTCATATTTCATGTCGAAATGTTGGATTCGATTTGAAAATTTGAGTTCGAAACACAATATTTTTTATAAAATTTGATAACTTTTCATTAATTATATATATATACATATTATATATCATGTCAAAAATACTGAATTCACTTTGAAAATTTGAGTTATAAAATGTTTGGTAACTTGCCTCAACAGGTTGAACCCAAAATGACTCACTAAACTATTAGATAAAAACGGGTCAAAATGGTATAATCAATAGGTTGAAATGCCATCAAAGCCTAATGTATAAAATCATATTTGAAGACGGGAAATTATAAATGAAAAAAATTTAAAAAGATAACTCGGTGCACTAAACTTCCATTATGCGCAGGGTCCGGGAAAGGACCGGACCACTAAAATCTATTGTACGTATCTTTATCCTGCATCTCCGCAAGATGTTGTTCCACGACTCGAACTCGTGACCTCCAGGTCACATAAAAAATTATGAAAATTTGAAAGAATTTAAACTAAAAAAAAAAAAAACTTTTACTTTTTTTTTTCTTCCAAAAAGCAAACTAAAAAGAAAAAAGAAAAAAAGGGAGTTGGGTCATGTTGGACGAGTTTGATTATAATCCATTATTTAATCCATCTTCACCTTAAACCATTTTGGCATGTTCGGTCATAACTCATTTTTTTATTAACCCATTTTGACTCGCTCAAATTTAACTAGTAGCCTCTTAATTTCCTCAAACTTTGACCTTTTCCCATTGTTTCTGAAATTACCATACATATTAAATGCAAGGTTGAACTTGAAGGACTCGAAGCATGGATATGAGATTTTTATATTATTATAATATGAGTATAAAGTATATTTTTGTTTTGTGTTGCCACGTGTTTGGTTGAATATGGATTCAACTTGATGTTTGACCTGACCTCATCTGGTTGATTTTAGACTTGACAACTTGAAGTATTTATTTTAAAGTTACTTTGGATTTATCAAAGTTGGTTTCTATAAGAATAGTTATATTTTTGAAGTCCATGATTTTACACATAGGATTCAAAGTATGCAATGGTTTATAATAAACCCTATAGCAGATACATATAACTTCTGTACCAGGCAAATAGTCATAACCATGTAATTTAATACTAAGTATTAAAGCATTTAAAAAATTCTCATCATTAAGAGAAATTTGCAAATTGGGGTAAGCATTAAAGTAAACAGAGCCATAAGCCAAACTGGTTTGCACAGTCCCTATAAGAGACTTTTTCCAGTTCTGATTTCTGCCATCTCTGAGAGCTGCTATAAAGCTTTCAGGTAAGCCTCTTAAAGTAAGTGGCTTAAAGGCGACTTGTATTAAGCCTATGTGTATAAATCTATGTGAATCCCTATAAGGGGCTAGATCATTTTCAGATAATAACCTGAACGTAGCATGATCACTATCTACGGGATGCTCTAGATGGAAAGTCTACCACATAATCAATTGGAGAAATGTATGAAGAATTTGATTTAGTCAACCTAGATGATAAACTGATATTATCAGTTTGTATTGGTTCATTGAACCTGATTTTTACAGTGTCATCTGAGGCTTGTTCTATTTCTGTAATCTCAGTATTACCAGTGTTTCGAGGTGCAACAACATCCTCTATGACCCTAGCATTTTTTTAAACGGTGAGTGGTTTTATGAAAATATCTAGAGGGTATAACTCCTTCTCTTACACAATTTAAATCTACTCCACTATCAAATAGAGCAACAAACTCTTTTATGAAATTGTAGTCAATTAAAAGAGTTATTTTTATTAAAAAAATTTGAGTGATAAAATATTGTAATTTTTCTAAAAATTCATCTTCAGGAAAATCCATTACTGCCAATAAAGTACTAGCAGTATTTTCTTCTGAAGGACTAGCAATATTATCTATCGCAGTAATCTTAATGCTGGGATCTGTATTAATTACCCCAGAGTTTTCTAATTTGAAAATTTCACCATTTTTCTGATTTCAGACATGGTGTAAGGTCCTTTTTGAGATGGAATTTCTTCTACCTCTGTTCCTGTTTCTGGATTGGTAGGAATTTTATCTATTAGTTGGGACCTTAGTTCAGGGTCTTTAATAACCCTTAGTAGATCAATCAAATTGTCATTAGACAGAACATTGATCTCTTAAGTCCCTAAATTGGGAGTAAATATGAAAAAGTTCATCGTCAGTATTACAACAATGATTTAAGCTTTAGTTATAGCCAAGCAACCTTTTTGATTTTATTTTAAAAGAGAAAATATTACAGAAGGATTCTTTACAAGTGAAGAGAGAAACTAGAGAGAAGACTGAGCTAATACTTTGGCTAACGCCTGCCTCTAGAGAATGGAAAATGATCCTTATATAATGGATCAGTCTACAAACAAACAAAACTAAAAAGTAGAATTGACCGACAAAATAATTAAGGTGAGACCGACAAGATAAAAAGATAAAGTCTATAATTACAAACGAACAAATTGCTTTATAAAAGCAGATTCCCTTCAATAATGGAGGGACCCTTTACTTTATTAAAGTTATTTTTATTACCCCTATACTCAATGGGTAGATATATCTCCCAAATTATTTCATTACAAAAAGATAATATCTTTTACGATGGAATTGCCGCTATGTATTTTTTCATAGAATTTTCTATCCCTTGGATTATGAAATAGGATGTAGAAGTTGGTTATACCAACGAAGGAGTTCCTTGCCTCCAAAGAATTGTTTATAACAATTTCTGGACAAAGTTAGTAAAAACAAACCAGTAGGAAAAATTATTTGGTGAATAATTAATTCAACAAATTAAAGACAAAATTGATGTGTATGTCAAACAAGAAAGGACACATATCAATGAAGGAGAAATCAGCTCTTTCCAACAGGTCACCAAAAAGCTCCAAATGAAGAAGAGAGCCATATCCAAAAAAGAAATCCTCGCTTCATACTTCGAGGAAATAAAAAAGGATCTTGCAAAAAATTTTGAAGCAAGAATAGGGGATGATATATCTATGACCTCACTAGTAACTACTTCAGATGAAGAAGTATGTGCAGCAGGAGAAGCACAGAGTACTTCTGACATAGAAGTAAACATGGAAGAAATTGAAGATTTTCTTGCAAAACTGAAGGAAATCACAGAAGAATCTTCTGTAAGGATAAACGACAAAGGGAAAGATAAGGCATGAAGGATAAGAAGGCCTCATACAATGAATTAGACTAGTTCCAAATTCTGTAGATGATGGTATCTACTATTATTGACTCTAATCTACATGGGCATGATATCTAACATTGAATGTGAATGGAACGACTCAAATTTATTTAAGAACCCCTATAGGCATGATTTCTATGCGTTACTGATTTCAGCATGCTACTGGGTTATAACCAATTGGGCCCTAAAAAAACATGATATCTAAACGGTGACAAATATGCAGAATTTTAGATAATCCCTATAGGCAGGTTATCTAGATGTGGTGTTGAACAGGTAAGTCCTATAGACATGGTTTCTAAATGTAATGTGAATATGCAGAATTGGAGCATTCCTATAGACATGTTTTCTAAATGCGATTTGAACAAGTAGAGAATGCAGTCCTATAGGCATGTTTTCTACCCTTGAGCATGCATAATTTCCCAACCTTTTTTTTCACTAGCCAATAGCTTAATGAACCATGAGTGTTTCTTATTAGGATTCTCATAGAGGAAAGTTTTATTAAAACTTTCAACATAGTCTCAATAATTAAATTTAGCCGAGACTTTCTTATCAGGATGAGTATATTCTCGATCCCTAAGGGTACTCA